CCTCAGTTACTGATCCAAGAAATGTTTTAGCCAGAGACATGGCTTTCTGGAAGACAGGTTTATTGTTTAATAGCAGCAATATTCTGGAACCTAGAAAATAATTCAGTTCATTAGATCCTTTAGAGCACTTACCTTAGCCTAAGCACTGTAACAATATTACATCAGACCCATGAGATTGAGGGGAAAAAATGGTGAAGAAATTGAGGTGTTCCCTCTCCATCTTCTGGACATATTATTCACTGGAAGGAGGGGGATATTAAAAATCTCTCCCCCAAAGGGGTAACATTCAGGTGATAACCCTGTGATGTATGGTTGGAAGTGCGGGGCTGTTCAGTCTTTCCCCTTATAAATTTGAGCTTCTTGCTTAATCGGTATAATTTGCTACACATTAGTACTCTGTTCATTAAGATTTTGTCCTGTTAACCACTACAAATTTCACAGATAGCTAATTGCAGGGAAATCGGAGTATGATTCTGTTACTACTGTGCATGTAAATGGTGCCTTTGAAGCTCCAACCCCGGCTGGACTTAGCCCTGCTCAGTTACACTTAATGACGTGAAATCTAACCAGAACCATTAGCGGAATAGCCCACTCAGCCACTAAAGCCGTTCAAGCTCAACAGACATCTTTAGATTCCCTAGCTTGAGCAGTCCCTAACAACAGGACTGGCTGGTGATTTGCTGGCCACCAGGGAGAAGTTGGTGCCGTAGCCAACACCTCCAGCTGTACCTGCATAAATAACCCTTCCCAGGTGGAATTAGAAACAAACAAACTTGCAAACTCTGTTAAGGGGCAATCCCAGTTTTGCCTCAAGCACCACTGGCTTGTTGGGATTTAAATTTTCTGATATTTTCAGCTGACTCCCCACTGGGCTTGGAGCTATTTTGAAATCCAGGTTAAAAATTGTTTTACTCATTATTATTCTAATTTGTTCAATGGATTTCATTGTCAGGCTATTGGTGTTGTATATCAACACATGTTTAAAGACCCCTACAAAAATCCTAGCACTGGCTGAATGAATAAGGAAAAGGCATCATGCCATTGCATCCCCTCACACTGAATATTGTATTGAATATTAGTGGCGAGAATGGGGATCTTTGTCTTGTGCCTGGTAGGAGAGGAAGAGCGTTCGGCTTCTCACCATTGAGTGTGTGTTAGCTGTGGGCTTGTCACATACAGCCCTTATGAAGTTGCATTAGGTTCCTTCTGTATCCACTTTGTTGAGGATTTTTATCATCAGTTGATGTTGAATTTTGTCACATGCTTTTTCTGTATCTGTTAAGATTATCATATGATACTTGCCCTTGTTTTTGTCGATGGGATGAATCATTGTTTTGCTAATGTTGAGCCACCTTTGTATCTCTGCTACAAATCCCTAAAAATCCCACTTGATTGTGAGGTACAAGCATTTTAGTGTATTGTTAGTTTTGGTTTGCTGGTGTTTTGTTGAGAACTTTCCCATGTTCATTAGGGATATTGGCCTGTAATACTTTTTTTTTTTTCTTTCTTGTAATGTCTTTGATATCAGGGTAATGCTAGCCTCAAAGAATGTTTGGGAGTCTTCCCTCCTCTTCAATATTTTAGGAATAGTTCGAGAAGGACATGTATGAATTCTTTAAAGGTTTGGTAGAATTCACCTGGGAAGCTATCTGGTTCTGGGCTTTTGTTTACTCAGAGTTTTTTGATTACTGCTCCAATCTCATTACTAATAGGTCTGTTCAAATTTTCTGTTTCTTCCTGCTTTAGTCTTGGAAGGTTGTATGTTTCTAGAAATTTGTCAGTTTCTTCTGGATTGTCTAATTTGTTGACATATAATTATTCACAGCATTCTTTTTTGTTTGTTTAAGCATGACAAATCAACTATATGCTTTACTGGCAGTAGGTGCAGGGCCAGAAGTTCATAAATATTCATACAAGTATTAAAAAACACCGCAACTTACACGTACTTTATTTACCTGATTTCAAGCCTTCTTGTTGGTACATAGGATGCTTTATAGTGTTGGTCTCGTCTTTGTTCACACTGACTTCAGTGGGCTGCACTTGGGTTTCCATGCTTGAGTTGCTGCCCAGTTGCTGCTGTTGCTGTTGGTTTGTTTTCGGTGAGGATCAAGGTAGTCCTTGCATATAAAATCTTGTATTTAATTCCTTCTCTGGCCATCCTTTCCTGGGTTCTTAGCTTTGCATAGTTATACTTACAATGGAACCAGCGTCCTAAAGTCAGCAAGATAACTGCTCCAACTGCAACATCATATGATCTTCTCATTCTACTAGTTAAACAAAAAATGTCCAGAGCCAGCCACAACAGATCCTTATGCACCGTGCAGTACTGAGCCCCATGCACAGGGCACGTCCTCAACGTCTGACACTCCTGGGCTGCCACAGGGACGAGCCGGTCACCCTAGTCCCACCCTGCCCGCGCTGAGGGCTGCCTTCATAGTGTTCTTTAACAATCCTTTGTATTTCTGTGGTATTAGTTGTAATCTCTCGTCTTTCATTCCTGATTTTATTTACCCGGGCTCTCTGTTTGTTTTTTTTTTCTTGGAGTCTTGTTAGAGGGTTGTGGGTTTTTTTTTTTTTTCAATTTTATTTATCCTTTCAAAGAACCAGCTCTTAATTTCATTGAACTATTTGTTTTTTAAGTCTGTATTTTGTTTATTTCCACTCTGTTTCTTGTTTCCCTCCTCTACCTGCTTTGGGTTTTGATTGTACTTTTTTCTGGTTCCTTTAGGTGTGTTAGACCATATATGGGATTTTTCCTACTACTTGAGGTACGCTCACATTATTATTAACTTTCCTCTTGTAATTGCTTTTGCTTCACCGCATAAGACTCGACACGTTGTGTTTTCATTTTTCTCAAAGTAGTTTTTGATTTCCTGTTTGATTTCCTCTTCGATTCATTGGCTGTTTAGCAGCATATGGTCTAATCTCCATGTTGTGCTTTTTCCAATTTTCTTGCTGTAGTTGGTTTCTAGTTTCATGCCATTGTGGTCAGAAGATATGCTTGATAAAATTCTTGAATCTTCTTGAATTTATTGAGGCTTATTTGTGGCCTAACATATGGTCTATCCTAAACATGTCTATTAATTCAATCTGTTCCAATGTGGCATTTAAGGCCATTATTTTCCCCCATGTTAAAAACATTTATTATATTTCTTCCCAATACCATTTATCCCTATACTCTACCTTCCCCACACCCACCACACTGCTATTAACGTCTGAGTCCTCTTTCCTTTTCTGCCCGATCCTTCTCCCCTCTAAACAACCCCCCTCCCAGAGCTGTCAGCCTGCTCTCGGAGTCTCTCTATTTTGAAGCCATTATTTTCTTCTAATTTTCTGTCTGGGTGATCTATCCATTCAGTTAAATGGGCTATTAAAGTCCCCAACTATTGATATTATGGTATTACTATTACTTTCTGCCTTCTGTGCCCATTAATATTTGCTTTATGGACTTGGGTGCTGTGTTAGGTGTGTTGATACTTAGGATGGTTATAGCCTCTCCTTGGATTGACCCCTTTATCATTATTTAATGTCCTTCTTTGTCTCTTTTTACATTCTTTGTTTTAAAGCCTATTTTGTCTGATGTGAGTATTGCTACTCCCGCTTTCTTTTCATTTCTAATGAAAAGAAAATACCTTCTTCACTTTCCATCCATGTGCCTATCAACCTTAAGTGACTCTCTTGTAGGCACCATATAGATGGGTCTTTTTTTTTTTTCAATCCATCCTGGCACCCTGTGTCGTTTGATTGGAAAATTTAGTACATTTAAAGTAATTATTGGTGGATATGTACTTATTGCCATTTTTTGTTTTGGTGGTTTTTATTCTCGATCTCTTTTCTCTTCGTTTGCTGGTTTCCTTTAGTGTTTTGTTTTGTTGCATTTCTTTTTATTTTTGTAGATTTTTGTTTGTGGTTACCATGAGGTTCGGGGGTGTGTGTGTGTATGTGTATCCAACTCTCTCTATACCAGTCTATTTTAAGCTGATAGGCATTTAAGTTCAAACATGTTCAGAAAGCACTAAATTTTCACTCCCCGCACACTTTATTTTTTGATGTCACATTTTATCTTTTTATTTTCTGTAGCTGATTATTATAGTTAATTTTGCTACTTTTGTCTTTTAATCTTCGTATTAGATTTATGAGTGGCAGATTCAGTGTTAATTCGGTATTTGCCTTTATCTGTGATGGTTTCCCCCTGTATTTTCTTATTTTTGGCATGGACTTTTCTGTATAAAGACTGTTTAACATTTCTTAGAAAGCCTATTTAATGGTGATGAGCTTTTCAAGTTTTGCTGATCTGGGAAATTCGCTCTCTCTCCTTCAGTTCTGATAACCTTGTCAGGTATGCTAGGGTGCAAGTTCCTTCCTCTCCGCACTCCAAACATTTCCCGCCCCTCCTTTCTGGCTTTCAATGTTGCTGCTGAGAAATCAGCTCATGGACTTTCAGGGTTTCCTTTGTACGTGACTCATTGATTCCTCCTTGCTTCTTTCAAGACTGGACTTTTATCTTTAATTTATCCACTGAATTCTAGTACACCTTGGTGTGGGCGTCTTTGGGTTCATCTTGTTTGGGATTCCATGTGCTTCCTGGACCTGATGTCTCCTTCCCTCCGCGATTAGGCAAGTCTTCCACCAGCACTTCTCCAAATACGTACCTTCTCCCCCTCCTGGGATGCCTGTAGTGTGAATGTTAGTGTGCCTGATGTTACCCCTCAGGGCCTCGCACCATCTTCATTTTCTTAAATTCTTCCTTTTCACTGTTATGACTGGTGATTTCTAGCATTCTTACCAATCACTGATCCATTCTTCTGTATTAACCAATCTGATGTCAGTTCCTTCTAGTGTGTTTTTTCATTTGTTATTGTATTCTTCATCTCTGATTGGTTATTATAATTTCTTTTTTGAAATTCTGAGTCCCTTTATTCAACCTTCCAGTTTATTGAACATCCTTATATGACAGTTTCTCCAAGTTATTTATCAGGTAAATTATTTTTCTCAATTTCTTTGGTTGGGGGGGGGGTTTCTCATGTCCGTGAGTTAAACAATACAGCTCATCCCTCCCAGTCTTGAAAAGTCGGTCTTGTGGAAAGGGGAGTCTGTGTAGACGAGGTGGTTTCGGCAGGCTGGCTGGAGTTGGGGTGGGCGTGTGCAGTGCCCGGGGCCAGCGTGGTGTGCGTGTGGTAGTGCCCTGTTGTTCTGGCTGTCCGCAGCCAGGCCCAGGGCCGGGAGGGGCAGCACTGTGTGCGTGCACTGTAGAGCCCTGCCGGTTCCACTCTCGATCCACGTGGTTGCCTGGTGAGTGCCCTGTTGTTTTGATCGACCGTGGCTGGAGCTGGCCTGGGGAAACCTGACCACGGCAATGCAGAACTCTGCCGGTTCCCTCTTACTCCAGGCAGGGCTTCCTGCTGTGCGGTTTGCCCTGTCGTTTTGTTTGACTGTCAGCTCCCTCCCACTCCGGCAGGGACCTCCCTCTCCATGTGAGTGCACATGGCTCGCTCCGTTGTCCTGATAGCTGCCCGTCTACACAGCCCCCAAGTGCATGTTGCAGCACTCTGCCGGCTCCCTCACCCTGGGTGAGCCCCTTTGTGTACTCGCAAGGCATATTCTGTTACTTTCACTGCTGCGGAGATCTGAGCTGGATCACCGCCTGGGCAGGAGCATAGCGATGCCCTGCTGAGCCCCTGAAATCACTCAGGGTGGGACTGTCCAGCATATATGCACTGTGGTTCCTCCCTGGTGGCTGTTTTGGCTCTGGCTGGGGCAGCCCAGTGGGTGTGCACAGCAGTAGCTGAGCTTCAGTGCCCTGTTGGGCCAGTGGGTCTAACCATATGGGTAATGGTAGGGGCTGTGCACACCTGCTACAGCGCCCTCTTCCTGCTGGAACCGGTGCTAAGAGGGGTGACTGGATGCAGTACTGTGGCCCTGCACGCTGGCCAGAGCACGTGGGCGGAGCTCTCACCAGTGCTACCCACAGATAAGGAGGATGCAAACAATGGCGCTCACCAGCTCCTCCAATCTCCTCCAGGTAGCCTCCTCTTCAGCTGTCCCCTAGTTGTCTCCCGGAGACAGCTACTCTAAACACAGGCGTGCATTCGGTATGTCCACGGGAGGAAGCACACTCTCCTCTTATGCTGTCATCTTGGACCCTCCCCAACCACAGGCCACACTGTGGGCCACCCAGGTGGAACCGCCTCCCCCTTTAAGAACACAGCCTGCACCCAGGGAAAGAATGGCCTCTGAGTGCAGAGAGAGAGCGGCCGGTACGTTTACCTGCCGAGCATGTACTTGCGTGAGGTCAGCCACGGTCCAGGGCTAAGGGAAGATGGAGGGAATGAAGGAACCCTGACCCTCGTGCTCTTCTCTCCCACATCATCACGAGCAAACTGCTCGAGGGCACACGCCACGCTGGCTGACGTCATCTCTGTCTCAACCTGATGCCCGGGGAGGAAAACCGGGTGAGTAGAAGGGGGGCCACCTTTCTACGTGTATGCACAACCCCCACCCTCACACACACCCATCACAAACATTAAGATACCTTGTAGAAAAACAAAAACTTTCCATTTTAGTTGCGATTTGACCTGATTTACACACCAACGCCATATTTTAATCTACTCATTAGCCTGCTTGCAACTGTCCGAATTGTTAGGCCGAGTGAAACCTCCCCGGCTCAGAAGCCCTTCAAAGACTTCTTTCACCTGCCCGCCTGGAAGCAGCCCTGTGAAGGCCTGGGGTGGGGGTGCTGTGGCTCCCTGGGTGAGGGCCAAGGCCAGCTTCTCCTGGGCCACCCTGGTGTCGCCTTCTCAGTTCTAGGCTCATGGGCTTCATGCAGAAGAGTGAGGAGGAAAAAAACGTCTCTTTCCCAATTTATACACAACTTTTTTTCTTATTAACACTGTGCCATAGAGCTATGCTGCAGGTTTGTTCTAAGCACAGAAAGCCAGATGGCAAAGCACACAGTTTTGCATAGAAAACAAAACAGATGGTGGGAAAGGGGTCCCCCCAGTCCTGCTCCACTGTCACCGGAGCTCGGGCCCCAGGGACAGCCACCCCTTTCCCAACCCGCTGGGGAAGGTCCAGCCCCAGTGTCACCAGTGTCTCCATTCGCTCGGTCACGCAGGTAGTTGTTCCTGATGATGCCGGGAGCACATGACCCACTGAAAAGTGCCTCGGAGGAGTGGAAGGACGCCAGAACAGAAGGACAAGGACACAGGATGGTGATGACTTACGGCAGACAATCAACAGGACAACAACAAAAAGGGTAACTCTGTCCAAGGCTGTGGGTATAAAACTAGTAGCTCTGCAGACTCGACTCACTAAACAAGTGCAGTCCCCAGCACTCTGGTAAACGAGACAGAAGTAACGAGCGCGCTGTCCAACAGCGGACGGCTATGCTTTCCTGCCATTTGGGTCGTGAGGTTTCCATTCGGGGCCCACCCAGGTGGGCCTGGAAAGCCACGTGAAATCCGCCACGTCCCCGCCTTCTGCGGATTCTCTGGTGCGTGGCTGGCCCGGTGCTGGGGGCGAGTTCAGCGTGAACAAAAGTGAAACGGCAGCCGGACCCGCGCCGGCCCCCGGCTCACGGCCACGCCGGCCCCCCTGGCAGACCTCAGTTCTTCTTGCCCTCCTTCCCAGGCGGGCTTTTCGCGGTCCCTAGGCTGTTCCACACCTCTGTGTACATCAGCGTCCCAACGAACACACACACGGTGCCCAGCCAGTGCCACAGGGTGAACGGGTTCTGGAAGTACAGGATGGAGACGATGAGGCTCACGAACTTGCGCAGGGTCACGACGAGGGTGACGGTGAGGGAGGCGCACTCCGTGGTGAGGATGAAGACGCCCCGGATGCACACGTACCTGGAGGGACGGGGTTAAGGGGTTTCCCGGGAAGGACCGAGAGGAGACCCTCCCCACCTGGCTCTTGGCTTCAACGTTCACCCTCTAGGAACCGGCACACCTGGGGGTTGTCTGCGGCGGCCCTGAGGCTCCCTGCAGAACACCCTGCAGAACGCCTGCCCTGCCGTTCCGTCTGTGGGTCCCCCCTCCCCTCTGCCTGCAACCTCCCCCTGTTCTCCTTCTGGATGCTTCCCACAGTTCACAGTGGAGGTCGGCTCCCAGGGAATGACCAACAGGTCACCCCCTGGGGCCCAGGAGAGGTCCTCACGCCCACCTTTATTTGACCTGGCCCCCAGTCCAAGAACGGAGTTTGACCACATTAGATTTGCCCTACAATCTATCTGACTGTTTCAAAGACTTAATTCTTTTATAATGGGCTTAAGGTCATGCAAAAGAGCATTTTTTTTTAAATTAAGTTTAAATGATTTGAAATTTCTTTCTGAGTCCTGTGACAGCTTGTGAACTACCCCAGGCCACCGGAACAGTCCAGGGAGAAATCACAGAGCACACACACCGTGTTCCAATCCCGACTTCGGCACTGCGCCCAGAGCCCGTCCTTCCAGTGCCCGCGACCTGCTGACCTGCTGACCTGCTGACCCGCAGTGCCGCTGGCACCTCTTCAGCCCTCCACAGAGGAGCTCTCCGGGGGCACCTCTCTCCTGCTCACTGCCGAGCAGACCAAAGCGGCAGGGGAACCCAGGCCACCGCACCGTTGGAGGAATAGACATCCCTTCACCGAACCCACCCCGAGGGGGCACTCGGCCACGCAGGAGAAAGGATACTGGGTAGCGACGTTCATGAGGAGGTAGAACCACATGACGGGCACTGTCACCCCGACGACGGGGACTTGGTACGACTCTGCGGAGACGAAGAGGGGAGATGGCCGTGTCACTTCGACAGCTGACGTTTTCGTCTTTCCGACCAGAGCGGTGCGGACTGGACCCCGCAGAGACAGCAGCGCTGCCTCCCTGCGAACAGGCTTGGACCAGACGCCCCTTCACTTGCCTCGATCCCAGGCTACGTCAGCCTCAAGTGTCACTGCACTGCTTTCTTAAAACAAATGGCAGTATCTCTTAATCTTAAAGTAAACTCTTTACCGGTCACCTGAACAGGACCCTACTTTTCAGAGAGCGCTGTGAAGCCCGGAGAAGTTCAAGTGAAGCAGTCTTCACCGACAGCAGCAGAGGAAAGACCACCAGTAAGTAAACGCCACGTGAGATATTGTCAGTCCTAACAGTGATCAAAGAATTCGAAATTAAACTAGACCGTGGCATTGCACAGCTATGAAGTTAGAAATTAAAAACTTACAACCAGTATTCTAACCTGGCAAAGGCAGAAGTGGAATCAGCAACCACTCAACTGGTGGTTATATAATTGGTGCTGTTCTTTAGAAAAATCCATTTTACAATTCCTGTCACAGGGCGGTACAAGTACGGGTACCAATTCATAGGAATTCATCGTAGATAATTCAAACAAGGAAAAAGTTCTCCACTCACTGCAGAGTAACTTACAATAACTCCAAATGCCCAGTGACAAAGTGGTGGCCGCACGAGCAAAGGTGCTGCGACCAGATGGGGCCCTGGACACGAATGTTCGACTTAAAAAATCCAAGGGCCACTCACAGTCACATAAACACGCACAACGAAAGCGAGAAAGGAAGTGTTATATCCACACGAGGGCTCCAACTACGCGAGAACTCACACCGTGTGTCTGGAAGGACAGCGGGACATGAAGTCAGCTGGCGTGCAGGGTGACGGGAGTTTAACTTCTCTTAAGTACATTCTCCTGTCAGTTGTGCACGATGAGGTTTGCACAGAGACTACTCGGGAGGAGACCAAACGCCCAAATGAAAGGGGGTGAGGGCACAGGAACCCTCTGAGGGCCGTTTCTTTCATGGGGCTCAGCGGTTTCTGGTGTTTGAAACACACAGCCTCACGTAGCAAGTTCCAACGGGCGATGCTGAGATTCGGTTAGGAAAAGAGCATTTTCTTTTGCAAAAAATAAAAAGCCACCTAGAGAGGCGAGGGGGTAGAACGGTACACCTGCACTGGTAGGAAATCCCAGTACGTGGTATTCTGCGGTCTCTGGGACACTGCGCAGGTGTTGAGATGCAAAGTTAATGAAATTTATTAATAACTTCAGAGATCCGCTGGATCGGGTTGCTGAGGGGAGAGACAATCGGTATGACTTAAAGTAACCCAGCTCTCTCAGAAAAATCAGAGATAAATGTACATTTAACCCAAGGACAATTCTGAAAAAATTAAAGGGATTCTAAAATAAATAAATAAATAAATAAATAAAATAATTAGAAACACCCAGCACTGCAACTTTTAGAAGCAGCATTCTAGTAACCAAACCAAAATCAGTCCTAAGATTTGATAGTGTGTTTATTTAAATAGCTCTTTCCTACATGGGGACTGTCAGAAACCTTAAAAACCATTGTGTCAAAGATCAACTATGTATCAATGATATCTCAATAAAAAAATCCCAGAAACGAGTAATTCAGAGCCTTAAACATTTTCTTTCACACGACCTCATCATACGTCTTTTGCAGGCACGAGATGGGGGAGGCGGCGCTGCAAACTCAGAGTGAGAGAGGCAACACCTCCCAACTCCCACTCCGATGGCCGGCGCTTCCCGAGCACCTCCGGCCGCTCCGAGAGAGACACCCTTCAGGTACGAGGGATTTAAAGCCTTCTTTGTGTGTTCATCAGCCCTATACCACACGACGTCTTTTATTAGCTATTCAGGTCACATAAGTCATTCATTTCAAGTTAACTGGCACTTTATAGCTTACTCATTAACTAGTCACTTTAAGAAATAACAGCTAACTTATACTGTAGACTTCTTGAGCTAATTTTGCTTATTCCTGTGGCCTTTTTAACCTGACTCTTGGAAAAGGAGCCCTGTCATCATCTCTGCTGCCCCTGTCCCCAGGTGGCTAGCACTGGGTCTGCCTGTCGGGGCAGACAAGGACGGACGAGGACAACTGGGCTCAGAGAGAGCTGGCCCGCTGGCCCCCTCTGGGGGCTCCAGTCTCTGCAGTGGGTTATCACTGTGAGCTTGCATTCTCAAAACATCAAAGCTTCCACACATGCAAATGCAAGCTATTCCAAAGCTAAACAGAACATCTGACAGTTTTCTCTTACTTCATTTGCAAATAACTGAGAAGCACCTGTAAGAGCTTTTGCTGCCACTAATGCATAGTGCTGATTCATGGCACTATGTCCCTGGATGGTGGGACAGGATGGTTTCAAGTGGGCCGGATGACTTGCGTTAAAAAAGGGATGGTCAAGAGTAAAACTGAAACTGGCACGTAATTCCACTGGGTGACCCCACACTCACCAGACTTATTGAAAAGCACAGCATGGTTGTAAATATCAGAAGCCAAGAAGATGAATCCAGGCAGGGGAAGGGCATGCTATGGGGAGAAACAGTTCACATAAATTGAAATGCAAAAACATTGTTGAATAATGAGCGTAGTGTTACAGTAATCCAAAGTTTTTCAGATTGACAAGCAATATCAAGAAAAGCAAATGAGACTTCCAAGTTCAATGTACCCAGTGCATCTAACCACGTGGCCTTATACGACACTGTCACCCCCAAGTTACGGTCCTTACCTTACGGGGTGTGATGGTCGTCTCTCACACACACACACACACACACACACACGCATGCATGAAGCCAGTATCCTCCCTCAACAGAAGGGAATGGGAGATTTAAACACATGGTCGTCTGCCCAAAGGACTTGTCACGTTTCACTGTTTTTGAGAACAGTCAAGCACAATGAGTTTAAAAATCATAATGTGAAGGCGGATCTCAAGGAGTTTAGAACAGTAGTAGGAAAGGCAGTTGAACAGTGAGGATGTCAGGGAGAAAGCAGTGAAGAATAAAAAGATGTGGAAGAGAAGAGGGAACAACAGGTAAGCAAAGGCTGATGCACTTGCAGCACCGCCGCCACAGTAATCTAATGCGGAACCCCGGGAGCGCTCCCTCAGCAGGTACTGTGTGCCACTTACTGCTCCGACAGAGAGAGGGGAGGCCAACGGGACGTTTATTTTCTAAATGCCCAGCTGCACACTCAAGCTCCACCTACATATGTCAGGTGGCTTGTCTGCAACGTCCGTCCAGAATGTTGTCGGTGAGGGAGAACTGTATCACCCTGACCTTGAGGGGCTGTGCTGGGGCATCACCACAGCAGGGGCGGGGGAGGAAGAGGAGAGTCACAGGAGGAGGCTCCAGGTCCAGTTCACTGCAAAGCAGCTCGTGTACATAAATAACTGCTATTGAACTCCCCATGAGGTGAGTAAAGCCCCTCGGAGGGCCTCACTCCCTCACTCTCTCAAGGGCCCGCCTGCACCTATGTTGTTTCTGCAACTTATTTTCCCCGTCCGGTTTCCCTGTTGGTCTGAACCTGGTTCCACCTGCAGGAACACGGGGGTGAAGGTTCCTTGTCTCTGCGGGGGTCCCTGGAGAGCAGACTTGTTCTGCTCACACTGACCGCCCGTGTAGAGAACTGCGGCTCAAACGCACCCTGGCAGTCCACGGGAGGCGCTTCAGCCTGCGGGGCCGAAGCAGTCACCGGACGATAAGCTGATCCGTCAGCTACATCAGGAGGAGGGCAGCTACGTTTGAAGTAACGTATTACAGTAACAATAACAACTGCATGAGGTAACGATAACAACTCTGTGACTTCTACCCTCCCCAGGTTCAAGCAGTCGCTTACATTATAGAACAAAGCCTCCTTGGAGTGTTTCCCAAACTGCTTGTAGAGAGTCTCCTGGAAAATGCCCATCCTGGCTGACATCAGAAGAGCGAAGGTCAAGGCTCCGATGCCTGCAAGACACGGGTCAGGTTACAGGATGCTTGCACTTGCACATTTCCAGATATTTTCTTGAAGAACATTTACTGGTCGCTTAAATGCACCACAAATGTTACAAGCCAATTGTAGAATATGGACAAAATTTTAAAAAGAAGTAAAAGTCAACCATAATAACACCATCCAGTGCTGTAGTTTTCTCCATCTCTCTAAATCCATCTGTGTATGTTTTAGGCTTAGCCAGGATCATCGTGAGCACACAATTTCATATCTTGCTTTTTTTCGTGATCTTTCTCCTGGATTTTCCTTCAGGTTATTCATTAAAGTTTTTCAAAAGTACGTGTGAATGGCTCTGTGGCTCTAGCATGTGGGTGTACCACACCCAAATGTCTTACGAGGATGACCAGATTACTTCCAAGTATTTCTTCATTAAAATCGACGTACATCCTTGTACATAAATAAGAAATGTTGATTATTTCCTGCCCTGGCTGGTGTGGCTCAGTGGATTGAGTGAGGGCCTACAAACCAAGGGGTCACCAGTTCGATTCCCAGTCAGGGCACATGCCTGAGTTGTGAGCCAGGTCCCCTGGAGGGGACACACAAGAGGCAACCACGCATTGATGTCTCTCTCCCTCTTTCTCCTTCCCTTCCCTCTAAAAATAAAAATCTTTAAAAATGTTGATTATTTCCTTAAAGTAAACTCTCGTACATGGATTTACTGAGTCAAAGGTTATAAACCTTTTAAAAACTCAATACATAATTTCTTTTTCCAAGAAAGGCTACGTCAATTTATACAGTAAACAGTTTATGTGAAAATGATTTTCCTGCTGCACCCTCAGCAGCGAGAACAATCATTTATTATCTTGCCAATATAATGGATCAAAAATAGAAAGGCATTACGTTTTGGTTTTATTTGCATTTATTAGACTAATGAAGCTGAATGTAAAATTATTGGACATTAATTTTTCCCCATGAATTATATGTTCAAATCCTTTGCAAACTGTTCTTATGGGATAAAGTATTCTACTAGCTTGTAAAGATCTTTCTATGTTAAGAACAGCAATGTAGGAAGCAAATTTTCAAAGCCAAGAAGCAGGGAGAGCTTTCTTTCACTGCTATTTCCCCTCCACTCGGTCCGCCCGCCTCGGCCTGTCCTTGCTACCGCGGGCTGCATGGGACAGTGCTTCACGCCGCATAGCGCAAGATGAGGGCCGGCTCTGCAGGAGCTGCCTCATTAATTCTGAGAAGAGACACTTCTACCTGAGCCAATTCCCCAGGACGTTCTGCGAATCGGTCAGGTTTGGGAACACCGCCATACAGAGGAGCTAACTTTTGAAGAAAATAAACCTAGGGCTGAGAAACGGGCCCCCTGGAAATGGCAACAGCCAACCTTGGCGACGTGCACTGCTTCTTACGAAGCCTCCGCTCGCTCGGCAGACAGACCGTGCAGAGGGGGCCGACTCTCCGAGCCCCGCTCCAGAGCGACCTCCGGGCGAGCAGGCCTGTCCGGCCCTTTCTGTACCGCCGGCAGCCAGGAGAAACACGGCTCCGTGTCATAGAACACACGCCCGTGAACCTGGGCGTTTTCTTTTTTTCATTTCTAGAACACCAGGCTCAGAGATATATGGTCCCAGGTGCCTCTCTTCGGCGGCATAATTTGTTTAGCTAAAGCTCCTTGCCAAGAAACACATCCCTTAGGAGAAAACTCAGCAAACAGAACTGCAAAGGCAATTATCTTGATTGTAATTACCGTACTTGCCTAGTAACCACCATGCAAATGCCTGGAATCCGTCACTCTCACTCAGGCTGGACTGGGAAGTCTAGAAAATAAGGAAAACACTAGGTACAGAGACCGGAGCCACAGGCGGCGGGCCCGGACACAGGGAAACCTGTGACCCGTTCCCCTCCCCTCTTCTTCCATCATTAATGAGGACCCGGTACCGGGGCCCCCGTGGCCCGCAGTGAATGTAAGTGGTTTGTGACCCCTGCTTACCACCTGCTTCGCTGACATGGAGGTGCAAATGAATATCCCCACGGACACCAGGGCGATGGACATGTACTTGAACATACTGTATCTGCGGACACAAGAACAAGGACACCTCAGGAAACACGGGCACCAGTGTCCACGTGCTGTTCTCCGTCACCGGCGCCCGAGAGGACAGACCACCAGCAGACGGCCGAGGGGGTCGTTTCCCAGCGGGGTCCGTGTAAGTCTGCATGTAGAAGAATCGGGGTGCCCACTGGTGGCTGCGCAACTCCCTTTCTTGGTGCTGCTTAAAACAGTGTCTAATAGTTTGCACACCCACAGACTGTCTCGTCAGAAAAATTTTTTTAAGAAGAACAGACCAGACACAACATTCCATTCTGCTCTCTGGAGTCCGCACGAGGCCTGACTGGCATCGGCCCTTCCCCCGGTGTGCAAGGGCCTGGGCCTGGGTGTGGCCCTCCCCCGGTGTGCAAGGGCACGGGCCTGGTGTGAAGGCGCACACCACACACGGGGAAGAACGGGCCTGGGTACGAGCAGCAGGCCTGGATACTCAGCATCACTCAACCGTTCATTTTCAGGGGAGGATTTTCTTGTCAAGTCTCCAAATGACCAAAATGTTTTTAAATGTCGACGAAGTTGGATAAAGGGAGGAATATTAAACTAATGGGACTGCTGGCAGTAATAACAGTGGTATTTCACATTAACTAAAATACGATCATTAACATCCTTTTCAGGCTCTCAGCGATAAAGCAAAAGGCTTCGGGCGAGAATGAAAAGAGATCAAATTTCCAAGATGAGCTATCCGAAGTTTCTACTCAACCACTGTGCGCAGTCCTGGTCACAGCAGCTCACACAGGCCAACAACAGAACTGGCCGAGGAGCGGAGCGAGGCTGCGCACGCTGGGCGAGAGCAAAGGGCGGGGTGAGGGCCCCGGCACAGCTGGGGGCAGCTGTGACAATCAGGAAACGCTTCTGTCTGGAAAGGTCAAGACAGAAAGGTTCACAATTGAGACCTAAACCTAAAAAATAATGAGTGAAGAATATACTATCAACTTGGGGGGGCTCCTACCCAAGATAAAAGTGTTAAATAATAAGTTTGACTCCACTCTGAACTGGAGTCAAACCCACCATCCAGGGGAACTGCCTGTACATCTTACAGCTCAGACCCCTGAATCGTGAAAACGGCAGACAACCTCAGGGCTGGGCCCAGAGCACCGTCCCGCCCCGAAGAACTGTCTGCAACACAACGAGCTGGCAGACGGCGCGACGGTGGGCCTGAGAATTACCCGACTGAAAACTGGAAACACTGTTTGGAATCGGTGCCCCCGCTTAGCTTCCCTGCACCAACGGAAAGCCCTGCCTTTCATTTGTGTAACTATTCCCCTGCCCACAACACACCTCGCTTTTGTCTCCTATTGGGAACACTGTTGGATTTTTGCCTGATTCACTGCTTCCCAAATAGTTCTTCTTCTTCTTCTTGTTTCTTTTTTTTTTTTTTTTAAATCGCAAATGAATACTGCCTCTCACTTTGGCCTTTTATTTTGAGGTTTGAGGTTGACATAGGTAGTAATTCCTGATATTAGACAGTTAAGGAAATCCTTGCTCTCTGACACTGAGGAGGGCCGGAAAAGCCGAGAGAGAGAGAGAGAGAGAGGGAGGGAGAGAGAGAGAGAGAGATTGAGATTGAGAGACTGAGATTGATTCAGGATGACAGGCCCCCAAACAAGTTAGGAAAACCCGAAATGCTTGAGGGAGGCTCTGGACATTGAGGCAGCATCAGAATACATTGTTTAAAACTTCTTTTGTGTCCCTGTTATGAGCCAACATCAAAGGTTGGAAGAACCACAGGTCCGCCCCAAGGGGAATTCTGTTCTACCAAGAAGCACACGGTCACTTCAAACATGACTGTAACACACAAACTCGTAAGTGCAGGGAACCCAGGGATGAGAGCACCTGCAGCGGCACCTACCTGGGGAACACACGAGCCTCGGGGAACACAGGGTTTGTGGTGAGCAGCCTAAGACAGGACAACTGTCCTTTTACGACACAGCTCTTCAACCTCAAAGCTCTAAGTTCCCACACTTGGAACTAATCGCTCCCGCCCGAGCTGGTACAGAGTGCTAATACTGGGGGTGGGAATTAAACACACTGAGAAGCTGGCATCGACCTGTACAATTTCGGATGTAATTGTGAGGGTGAACTCCCCTGAGGAATGTTCCAGACGGTGTGCGCTGTCTTCTCTCAGCGCCCCTCCTCCCTGGGAGTGAGAGGAGAGGCTCGGAACGAAAGGGGGCAACAAGCACTTGAAGAAAACATCCCAGACACTTCTGGTCTCCCCCGCCCTGTGCCACAGAGAGCCACTGGTGACACTCACAGAGAACGGTCCTGAAACGCCATTCCATCTTCTCGGCCATTGGGGCCTCCTTTAGAGATTTCCTCTTTAATAACTATGATATTCCTCAGCTCGCTATGGCGTATGGATAAACACCATCTGTGACGCACTGTCCCACCCGCTAGCTCAGGGGCTGCGAATGTTCCACACCGGGCTCTCCAATACGGTCACCACTAGCCACATGTGGCTACTGGGCAATTAACATGCCACTAGTGAGACTGAGAAAATATATCATCTTAAGTAATTTCAATGTTAGATGTAAACAGTCACGCGTGGCTAATGATGACCATATGGGACAGTGAAGTTCTAGATCAACTGGCTTCCTAGGTTAGCGTGGATCTAAGGACTCAGTGACGACGAGAGCGCATTCTACCCAGAGGAGATGCTACTCCAGAGCCACAGGCGGGACCTCGTGCCTGGTCAGCTGCTTCAGGAATGAACGTCGCTGTCCAGAGAGAACAAGGACACAAAGAAGGTCAAGAGCAAACCATCTCCACCACAGACGGGGCACAGGAAATGCTTCCTCTACATAAATCATAAAAGTGTATTGCTTACCTTTTCTTCAAAATGATAATTCCTAGAATCATGTTGGCAATTAGAGAACCCTGTGAAAGAGACGAGGGAGAGTTTCAGTGCACGAGGGAAAGACAGTGTCATTCAAGACAAATAAGGGCGTGGACAAGGGGGCAAAGAGCTGGGAAGGAGGAGGTTAGGATGCTCAGGAAGGTCCGGGTGTTTGTACAAGGGCAACAAGTGTAAGCCATGAAATCGATCTAGCAAAACAGTAAAACTTTTTAAAGATGACAGTAGAGATAAAAGCGATCAGTCCTCAATACCTAGTCCTAGCTGAAGCTGTGGTTACCAGGAATAAATTATGTTACAGACATGTTTTTGTCAAATTTTCCGTCTACCTTACTTACAAGAGCTTTTCACAAGCTTCTCGCCCCTCACGTTAATGAAAGAAGGCACAGAGACCCCGCCTCTCTGGAAGGGTGCCTGCCAACCCACCCCCGTGTGTGTGTGCCTGCTGGAAGTCTGCGGTGCGCTCTGAAGGTCGTCTGGGTGATTACATCAGCTCTGCGAAGTCCTTGTAGGAGCAGCACATTCGGTCTCACAAAAATCTCAGACTGCGCCGAGGTGCTGCAATCCCGACCATCACCCATTTGGGATTCTTCTGCTACGCTGTCCACACCTCCCTTGACGTCTTTCCTGCTCCTCGGGGGACACTGTTCTTGTTTGTATAAAAACTAAACGCAGATCTGTCACCACACGTGAGGCAAAGAAAAAAACGGCTACTGCTTTAGAAAAAAACATGTCTTCATCAAGAATTTCCCTTTATTGTGGATTGAGCGCGGGCTGTGAACCAAAGTGTTACAGGTTCGATTCCCAGTCAGGGCACATGCTCGGGTTGCAGGCCACGGCCCCCAGCAACCGCACATTGATGTTTCTCTCTCTCTCTCTCTCTGTCTCTCTCCCTCCCTTCCCTCTCTGAAAATAAATAAATAAAAAAAAAAGAAAAGAATTTCCCTTTATTTATTTCAAGTCTCTGCTTAAAAAAAAAAAGAAATTGGAAAAGAGAAGGGTCCATTTCATTGACTAGAAGTAAATGCAATCTTATGGAAAAAGAAAAAGCGATGAGAAATAAATTACACGCATAGCAAGTTTGACGACAAAATCAACCAGGTGAAAGGAATTAAAGGCAAAATCTGTTTCTCGGGAGGATTTTGACTTTCCTTTTATTCACCACCCACGAGACCCCGGATAAGTCCCAGTAACCCCCCACGTTCACACTTCCCTCTCTCTCTCCCTCCCTTCTCAGGTGAGACAAAGTCAGCCCCTGCAAACCAGGCTCACGGGTCTACGAGACCCGCTCTCACCCCCTAAACGCGGCTCCTCGCGAGCCCTTTCCGCCCCCGCCCACCCGGTGCTCCCACAGGAGCGCGCTCAGGGCACGGCGGCACTCACAGAGCGGAATATCATGTGCAGGGGCATGGCGATGTTGAGGTTCAGGGCGTAGTTGTTCACCACGCTGACGGTGAAGAACATGGTGACCATCGTGGCATAGTATCTGAAACGCAGAGGGGACAGCCTGTCATCACACAGGGCCCACCATTTGTAGAAAATCAACTAGAGATGGCAATACGCGTTTTTAGTTAAAAAGTATTTGGCTTGTTTCCTCTTTATTAAGACTGCATCACTATTATCCGTTGAAGTCAAATAATAAGTACCTATAAAACAATACTTCACAGGGCCAGACTAACATGGAAAAAGTTTAAATTACAGAGTATGCTTTAAGAGACAGTAATGTTTCCAGTATGCATAGCAAATGAAAACTGGTCTTCAAAAATGTCACTTAATAGACACCGATAGGTTTTTACAAGTCAGTGGAGACAGAACGTCAGCACCGTGGCAGCGTGAGCAGATGCCACCGTTTCTCCTCTTGTATTTACACATCAGACAATTTCAACTCAACCAAGGACCCTGCTCAACACCAGACTCGCCCGAGAGAGCCACCCGTCAGGCCACCGGAAGGGGGTGCGTTGGAAGGAGTAGGGGAGGTGGGATGGAGCAGGGCCGGAGGGGAGGCGGCAGGCACGGTGGCCGCAGACGCAGCCTGGTGCCCCGCCTGGCTCCAGTGAGCACGACAGCGGGGACAAGCCTGGCTCCAGCCCGCACACCACGCCCTGGAGGGTAAGAGGGGCAGAAGCAGTGTTCTTCCCAGAAAAGGAAGGGGCAGCTTCCGCCTGCCCCTCTGCAGCAGAGCTGGCTAGAGGTGGCTGGGAGGCCATGGCTCTAAGGGGGTGGGGCGGAGCCATAACACTGTGCACTCACCTCCTCTGCCCCACAGACCCCGCAGGGCCTGGTAAAGCCAGGAGCACAGGGCAAAAATGGGGTCGCTCTGGGAGCGTGCAAACCCAATTCTCACCATGAGTCACCTCCCCTAGTCACAGCAGTCCTGACCCACGCCTGCGGTGAGCTGCTGACAGAGGGGACACCCGGCATCACAGTGGGTACAGAGCATCTTCCTTAACCTAAGCAACGCCACCCCACCGTGATCCCAGAGGCATAAGGGGTGCACATAAGAGATAACAGAACCTGCGCTGTGACACCACTCATGGGGAAGGAAAGGGCAGCCTGCCTATGAACCTGCTGGATTGCTGCGAGCAAAACCGAATGCAAAAAGAGGCCACTACCTCAAACGCACACAGAGAAACCACCCACCGAACACCACACACCACCGAGGTAACTGGGAGCACAGAAAGGAAATGAAAAATCTCCAAAAACCAAACTCAGAAGCCATGGGAGACTGATTTAAATGACAGAATTCAAGACTGCAGTGATGAAGAAACTCAACGATGCACCAAAAACAACCAAACCCAGGAAGGCAGTTTAATGAGCCCAGGAATAAAATCAATGAACACAAGGAGTACTTTACCAAAGAGTCAAACTACAAAAAAGAAAGTCTGGGGCTGAGGAACGCAGTGAGATACGATGTAAACCAGAGAGCACTGGAAACAGAGTGGACCAAGATGGAAAAGAGAATTCGAGAACTTGAAGACAGAACCTAGAAATGACCCATGAGGAAGAAGAGAGAGAACTAAGAGTTGAAAAAAAAAAACCAAAATGAAACAACTGTCTGCACACATTAGAACCAGCAATCAAAGGGTACCAGGATGCCAGAAAGAGCGGGGGGTGGGGGGGGCAGAGATCCCACCTGAAGAAATAGCTGATGAGAACGTCCCAAGCCTATGGGAAGAACTGGGGTTTTAGAATAGAGGAAGCCAACACAACACCTAATTATATCAATATAAAAAAAAAGCCCACTCCAAGACTCATCTTATTTGAACGGTCAAAAATCGGTAGCAAAGAAAAAATTCTCCAGGCAGCCGGGAACACAAAGACTGACCTACAAAGGAAACCCATTAGATTATCACCACCTGACTTTTCAGTGGAAACATCAAAGGCCGCGGAGAGTGAAAGAAAACATTCAAAAGATATTGAAAAGAGAGGAACCATCAGCCGAGGGTAAGATACTCAGCAAAGTTATCCTGTGGCTATTAAGAAGAAAGAAAGGCTTTCCCAGACAGACAAAAGCTGGGAGAACTGACCACTGTAAGACCCACATACGAGAAATGCTGGAAGGAGCCCTTCTACGGGAAATGGGCGCCCAGAAGCAGACGAAACTCTGCATTAGATGACTCCACAGACAGCAGCAGGCAACTGAGAGCCTACTTCAGACTAGGTTACTAAACACTTCATTATCACATAATGGTTAAAGGGGGAAAGGACATTAACATAATTATAGCTACTGCAATTTGGTAAGAAATGCACAACATAAAGAGGGATAATTGGTGACCACAAAATCATCCAAGAGGAGGAGAAGGCCTGAACGGGTAAGGGGGAATAACGAGGCAATTAGAAGAGAAAGGACTACTGTTATGCATGAGGCTCTTTACACAATCCTAATGGTAACCACAAAACAGAAATCCAGAGCTCAGACATAAAACATTAAAAAGAAAGAAAGAAAAAGAAATGGAGGGGGAAGAAATCAGAGAAAACTGCCAGACTAAAACAGCAGCCAGAATAACAAAGGGAAAGAGTCAGGGACACAGAGCAACCAGGAAAGGTAAAGTAGCTGTAGTCAGTCTTCACATAAAGTTAATCACCCTGATTATAGACGGACTGAACTCACAAACAGAAACGCAGAAAGGAGGAGCACGGAGTGCAAACTGAGACCCGGCTACAGGTTGCCTGCGCGAGCCTCGGCGAAGGGGTGGAAGATGGCACTTCAGACAAAGGGCGCCCGGGGAAACGTGGGTGCAGCCCCACTTACATCAGACACCACGGAGTTCAAGATTAAAAAAAAAAGGTAACAAGAGACAAAGACAGACATTTTATAATGACAAAGGAGACAATTCCTCAAGAAAGCATAACACTTAATACATACGCACCCAACCTGGGAGCGCCGAGATACGTAAAGCAATCACTAACAGACCTAAAGGGAGAAACTGACAAAAATACAATTATTGTAGGGACACGAATACCCCGTTGACAGCAGAGAATAGATCATCCAGACAGAAAGTCAATAAGGAAATACCGGCCTTAAATGACACATTAGATCAAATGAACTTAATGATATTTACAGAACTTTTCTTCCCAAAATGACAGCACACGAATTCTTTTCAAGTGCACACAGAACACATCTGCCAGGGCACCAAACTAGTCTTGATGAATTTAAGACTGAAAACATACCGAATGTATTTTCTGACCACAATGGTATGAAACAGAATTAACTCCAAGAAGAAAGCTGGGAAAAACACAAATATGTGAAGATTCCACAACATGCCACTAAGCAACTACTGGGTGAAAGAAGAACTGAAAGCAGAGATCACAAGACACATAAAGACAGCCCTGGCTGGGTGGCTCAGTTGGCTGGAGAATCATCCCATATACCAAAAGGATGTGGGTTCAATTCCCGGTGTGGGCACATGACCTAGGTTGCGGGTTCAATCCCTGGTAAAGACACATCTGAGAGGCAACCGATCAATGCTTCTAACATCAATGTTTCTCTCTCTCCTTCTCCTTCTCTAAAATCAATTTTAAAAAAATATATCCTCGAGTGAGGATTTAAAAAAAGATACATAAAGACAAATGAAAATAAAAATTCAACATACCAAAATTTGGGGTATGCAGAAAAAGCAGTATGGATGGGGGAAGTTTACAGCATTACAGGCCTACCTCAGGAAACAAACAAAAATCTCACAGAACCTAGCATTACACATTAAAAAACTAGAAAAAAAAAGTTCAAGACAGTGGCAGCATAGGGGGCATCTGAACTCGACCCCTCCCATGAGTAAACTCAAACACACACAAACACACACACACAGATACGGAACAATTGCTCCTGCAAGACAACCGCAGGCTGAGGAAACAGCTTCTGAACAACAAACAAAAAGATGAGGGAAGGTGGGCAGAGCCACAGGCACCCCCCGGGGAGGGAGCTGCAGGAACTCTGGGGCTGGAGGAGCCAGTGAGCGCACCAGGGCAGCCCGGAGCTCTGGACAGGCGCTTTGGCTTGGCTGCACGATCACAGCAGCTCTCCGAGCTCTGCTGCCTGATCCCTCTGCCTCCCAGCCAAGAGAACAAGCAGCAACAATAGGGTGGGACCGCCCACTCCTGGCCTACCCGCTGGGTTCCAACAGGCTTCCCCAAACTGGCTGGCACTAAAGCCCACACAGAGGTCACTTCCCTGCAACACCCCTTTCTGTACAACAAACACGAGAGGGACTGCAGAGAAGGTGGGCAGCTGCGGGAGCTCTCTGGAGACTGAGGGGATTGTCCGGGTGGGAGGTGCCTGTGAGCAGCACCACTGTTTACATCCGCCTCCGCCCACCAGCGAGGTAGCTGGACAATCACCCAAATCCATTTCAGCCCTGAGCAAAGAGGATCAACAGGCCATTACTATATGCACCTGGCCGAAATCTAAAAATACAAAATTAGTAACAAAATTCAGCCAGATTTTTCTACAGCAAGCTACTCAGGAATGCTGAAAAATAACATCAACAAGGATGAGCCTTAACCAGTCCTTGCATGCATTCACACCAGCATGTCCCCCTCAAAGGGGTCAATGACACAAGCCTATTAAATGCCCACAAGGATGGGTCAACACATTGATTTCAAGTCTCCACAGCAAGCGTGCTGAGTTGCGACACACTGCTCATTATACAACTGTTGGTTTCTATTTGGCCCCATGAGCACAATTATGTAAATCTGGACTACTGGACAGAGGTCTAGAATCAACAATTTTGCCTTAGTTTGACAATTGTTTTTTTAAGGTTTTACTTATTTTTAAAGAAAGGGGAAGGGAGGGAGAAAAAAAAAGGAAAAGGAACATCAATGGTTGCCTCTCATATGCGCCCTGATCAGGGACTGAACCCACAACCCAGGTAAGTGCCTTGACCAGGATTCGAACCAGCAACCTTTTGCTTTCCATGACGCCCAACCAAGTGAGTCACACCAGCCAAGGCAGGTCATTTCCTTTTCATTGAGATGAAATTCACCACATAAAAATCAATCATTTTAAAGTGAACAATTCCATGGCATGTATTACATTCACAATATTGTGTAACAACCACCTCTACTTCCAAAAGCCATTTGTTTTTTAAAAGGAACAATGATGCCACTCTTACCACATGTGATAACACAAGGATAGCATACATAACTGTTTTTAAAATGTTGGTGACAACACTAGGGCTCTCACTGACCACATACTAGAGAGACACACACACACACACACACACCACTCACACTCACATATATATACATGGTCGTCTCCACCACAGTTATTTGAAGTGTTGTGGCAGGAATTTTATTTTAAAATACATTGGCTCCCTGGAGTTTCACAACATATTAAATTCAGAAAATAAATTATTACTCTGCAGATACATTTGATACGAATCTTATCAAAGGATGTCTCATATTCCTTTTATGTAAGTACCAGAAAAGCTCTTAACTTCAAAAAGAAAAAAAAAAGCCGAGAGAGACTTCCCTGGGCTGTACCTTATTGGGATAGCCGGCCGCTTCGTGCCCAAGTGAGCTTCAAAGAGGAAGCCTTCCGCAGCGATGAACAAAAACTGTGCGAACGTCACGATGTTCCCGCATCCTGGGTGCTTCCTGAGTAGTGAACCACAGAAAGGCATAAAACGTCAGGACCAAGGCCACTATGCCTGGTTACACTGAAAGCTCAGGGCGACAGGGAGAAAGCCCCCTCACCCACTGTCCCCCTCTCGGTTTTCAGGCCCGTGGGCCACACGCACTATGACACAATGCCCCCCACAGAAGGACGCCCAGCCTGCCTCGCTCTCCCGGAGGGTCACTCCACTGCACTCCCTGCTCGAACCGTGACACCACTGTCCTCGTGAACTGTGAGAGGTTGGCCGAATGTTCTTTTTGGGATCTGCACTTAACCAAGAGGACTTCGGTCAGGATCCCAGTCAGTGTAGGCGGCAAAGCCCAGGGACAGAAATATGCTCAGGTCTCATGGAAGTGTTTACAGATCCCCCTGACCAGGAACCTCCAAGACCACGGTCAACGAACGGAAGATTCATGCCCACTGTCGATGGCAGAGACGTCACCTGAGCTCCCCTGTCGGGGCAAAAACTGGCTCCTGGGGAGGGGGGAATCTTACTGTTTTATAAGTACACAGCACAGATATACATACAGTACATACATATAATGGTGTATCTGTGGTGGGATGGTCAGGGAAAAAGGTCCAAAAGGGGGTCCTTTTGGGGTGGGCGAGGGGCAAGGGGCAATAATGGAGCCGCTATAGCACGCTGTTCTCCACAACTCTTAACGCACATGCGTCAGGCACTCGACAGTGTCCATGGAGTTCAATCGAACCTCTCCAGGGGCCTCTGGAAGGGGCAGGGGACCCTTCACAGGGACTGCTAGGGCAAAAATCATGAGCTAGGAGCAATTCCTTCTGACATTCCTCCTGCGGCACTCTGTGGAAATCTGTTCCTTAAGATGTCCGTGGTTTTCTTGAGCTCATCCCCCATAAGGCTCTGTGCCACCAGCGGAGGGGGTCCAAAGTGGGCAGCTGTCTTTGTCTTCCGGAAGCCCCCAGATCTCCCATATTAGCGACACTGCTGTGTTATGAAACTCAGCCTCCATATTGTATATTTTCACCTTCACCCAAGACACTTACCCAAAGCCAGTGACTAGAGATGTAATTATATTACTAAATAGTGATATAATACTATTTATTAAAAACTCCATCCTCTGTTGCTGGTATTGATATTATATAGCAGTGCCAAGCATGCAAATTCTTAAATACAGCCATCAGGTGTAAACATAAAGACCTCCAAGTGCAACCCATGTGGGGTTTTTTTGAGATTTTATTCTTTTGATTTCTTAGTTTTCTTTCTTTATTATTTTATCTATTTATTCCCCATTTCCTATACTGTACTTTACATCCCCATGGCTATTTGGTAACTGCCTATTTGTACTTCTTAATCCCCTCACCTCTTCACCCATTCCCCCACCCCCTCCCATCTGGCAACCATCAAAACGCTCTCTGTGTCCATGATTCTGCCTCAGTTCTTCTTGTCTGCTTAGTTTGTTTTTTAGATTCGATTGATAGATGTGTATTTGTTGCCATTTCATTGTTAATTGTTCATTGTTCACCTTCTTGTACAGAGTGAAGCGTACCATCTGAAGCAGAACAGCTGCTACTCCGTAGGGTCTACTGCCTGTGAAGGTTTCCTTGAAAACTACTGCTTTCTATTCAACTCAGCGACTTCTTTTAGCACTTTCTATGTTCAAGGGATGGGGCTAACGGTTGCAGGAATCCATAAATAATCATGGAAGACATTTACCTCGTTCAAGGAGCAATTAAAACCATTAGCCTCAATATGAGCGACAGGAGCAGGAACTGGAGCCGCAGACGGATAATTCCTAGCAGGCTCCGCGCAGCTCTGTACAGGCTGCTCTTTAAAAACCATGTGCCTGGGGGGCACCCCCCCACTCCACCCCCGCAGCGTGGACTGGGCCGGTCTGGGGTAAGGCCCTCGAACCTGTCCTTCTGAAAGCTTCTCACTTGATTCTACTGTGCAGCCAGAGCTGAGAACCAGCTCTGGGGAAAAGGCCGGGGGGGCAGGGTGTGTGGGGGGAAGGGTGTGCATATGTGTGTGTGTGAGTGTAAGATGCGCAGGTAACTCGGATGTGCTGACACAGGGTTGAGAACTGCTGTGCTCCACAGTGGCTAAAAGTGCACGGTGACATGCAGGTTGCAGGCTCTGTCACTTCCTCTGGGACAGTGGAAGTTAAACGCCCTATCTGCATCTGGTTTTCTTATCTTTAAAATGGGAGCGGTGTTAGCGCTTATCTCATCGGTTTCCTTGCAGAGCAAACGCGCCAGGCCCTGAAAAGCACTCCCCCTGGTGCCTGCTGTGGAGGGAAAAGGCAGAGGCTGGAACTCCAGGACGACCAGCTCGCAGGACCCTGCGTACCACACTAGCAGGTCTTCAGCTGAAGTCTAGCAACCTTTTAAAAATATTTATATTGACCATGTTTCTCAACTGTAAGACAGAGGTGACATACAATTAACATTCTAGGGAGGATTCAACGAGAAAATACACCTAAAGTGCCAAGGCACAACTTAGCCCAACAGGGGCTCATGAAGCGTCCTTGCTTCCCCTTCCATTTGCTCTCTACCAAAGCCTAGGTCAGTTCGGCGACAGAATCATCGTGGGGCTAGCTGCTAGGAAGCCCTCGGCGAGAATGAGCCCGGACCCCTGCCCTCAGGATGACAGTAGGTCAGGGAGCCACTCCTGGAGCATGAGACAGTGAGAAGCCACAGCCACAGAGGCTGGCTAGGGGGCGGGGCTCCCACTCTGCACACAGCGTCCAGCCGTGCGGCAAGCCCCTGAACCAACGTGGGGACACCTCGCTGGAAGCGACCGCGATCTAGAATACTAAAATTGTACAAAAGAGAGAAAGAAACAATCTTTTTCAAAAAATGATTCACCTTGCAAGTGTATTCTCCATACTATTTTTAAAAGGCATCATAATTACTGGTAATTTTATCTTTATTTTTAGGGAGGCAGGTATTATTACACCCGTTTCACTGCTGAAGACACCTGGGGCCACGCGGCACCAAGTCAGGCAAACCCCGAGGGCCACGCGGCCAATAAATGGTGTGTGCAGACCCTGTCATGGCCCCGTCATTTATTATTATTCACACAGGGCGGAAGGGGCGGGGGGTTGTATTTAGTTTATTTGGAGTCGTGCAGCCGTCACCATTATGTAATTTTAGCACACCTCCGAAAGAAACTCCATATGCATTGGGAGTCACTTCCGATCGTCCCCTTGACAACGCTAATCTACTTCCTCTATTTCCATAGGATTTTTTAAAAGGAATTTCATTTATCTACTTTTAGAAAGAGGAGAGAAACATTGAAAAGTGAGGGAAACATCGATCCGCTGCCTCTCACCTGCCCCCTACCGAGGACCTGGTTGTCCACCCAGGCCTGTGCCCTGACCAGGAAACGAACCCGTGACCTTTCGGTCAGCAGGCGGGCACTCAATCCACTGAGCCACACCACCCACGACTCTGTTTCCATAGCATTTTTAAATATCCCTAATGCATTCCCATCATTCAATTTTTTAAAAATCAATTTACAGAGCTTTTTAGGAACATGCTGTTATAAAGAGACACATACTTCTACATCACTAAGTGCAAATAAATCGTTTCTCTGACTTTGCATTCTCTACGGCAAGAATCCAAATTTTTATTTTTATTTTTTAAAAAGCAACTTTGAAGAGAAAGAACTGGACAGATCGTGTAGGCCGTTTGTTATCTCTTATTCTTTTCTATTAGCTTCAGCATTAGGCACAGACTGAAATAAAAAAGGGAAAATAAACGTTCCGGGTTGTTCCCTCCCAGAAGACACAGGACACCTCGCAGCTCAGTCAGCTGGCGCAGACCCCCCGGGGCGTGACTTCACACCTGCTCCTCGCCCTGCACTGTGCTTCCTGCACTGTGCTTCTTCGTATTCTATTTCAGATCCCAGCTACCGGGATGAACATCGGAAAGAAACACCTACGGTGGTTTTCCAATCTGGGGAAAGTGATTATAAATGGCTGCTTCTCCCTGCAAGTCCCTTCAGCATTTGCATTTATACTAATAGTGCGTTCCGCCTGCCACTTACCAGGGCGCCCAAGGGTTCCAAGGAAGCCATATAAAAAGCACAGCTCCTGCTCTATAAAAAAGTTACGAGCTGTGATGTCCCAAGACAAAGTCACAAATTCTGAGGCCAAAACTAGAAACACCTTCAAAAGACCATCCAGTCCAACCAGTTCTTATTTTATTGATCTGTCGCACGACAAGTTGTGAGTTGCCCAAGCAAATCAGGAAAAAGCTGCTACTCGGTCTGGTATACCGTCCCTTAAATCAATGAATGTACCCCTCACCATCTTATGGAAACCCATTACAGATTTATGGGTCTTCTTTAAGTACACTTCCAGCTTTACATAAAAAGGTAAATGAAGGATGATTATTTGCAAGTTATTTCAGAGTTCTAAATAGACGCTCCCATAATGCGTGAAAACATTTATGTACCAGTAGTTAGATTTATCCACAACATCCCAGGAACAAATTCATAAGACAAGGTATACCCATACTGAAATAAAAGTTTTAAAGAGGAAGGCCACTATGAGTGTGCTTCAGGCTTTGCACGTGAATCTCATTTAATCCTTCAAAACCACGTGAGGCTGGTCTAACCATGACTCCCCCCCGCCTTTCACTGTTGAGAAAACAGACTCCAGGAAATCGAGTAATTTAAGCAAGGGCTTAAACTAGTCAAAAGTGCCTTCAGCTGCTACCATACTGGCATCGCACAGCCTTTGACAAGATTTAATTTAATGCACAGGTGGCAAGCACAAGGCCCGTGGGCTGAATCTGGCCCTCCACCTGGTTTTACCCGCCCGGGCACCTTGTTTCTACCTGGCCGCAGCACCGAGCTCTTGCTTAACTGTTAAGGAGCAGTTACATTTATACAGTCCTAAAATTACATCCAGGCCTTTGAAGGCAACCTCAAGGTGAAGGTGGCCCCCAGTGAAAATGAGTTTGACACCCCTGATTTAATGGCATATTCCAACACAAATATTACACTTTTATTTGGCTGGCCTGACTTTATCACTTTTTTATATTTAAAAATCAATTTCCAAAGTAACTTTTCCTTTGAAAGGTACCAGCTTCCAGCAAGATCTATTTTTTCCCATATCCCTCACCACCTACTCAAGAACGACAGATGACAGATCTTGATCAACATTTTCTGCATAACACAATTTCAAGCTCAGTAACTGCAAAAATTAACCCCACACAGAGTTCACCTTAAATAAACTGATTGCTTCAGAATGACTTCACCAGTGGTATCAGGAAAATAAAATACATTTCTAGCAGGCACCCCGTGAGGAACTGGGTGAGCAAAACCTATAGGCTGCTCAAGTTCAAAGTGAAGAGGGAGGGTGAAAATGGTATCGGACGAGGAGTTCACATGCCCTGGATCCCAGGGGTGCCTCTGCCACTTCCAGGTGGTAGAAGGGCCTTTAACTTCTTAGGAGCTGCTCCATTTTCGGTAAAGCAGAAATGATAACTCTTGACCTATCTTGTACACAGATCGCTCTAATAGTCAGTCACAGGAGATGAAGTGTAGACTCGGAAACATGGTGGTGGAGAGCACCGCGGACAGCACTGTACAGCAGGAAAAAGGAGGCCCAGAGAGGCTGAATGATCTGAAAAGGTCACACAACGGGGGTATGGCAAAACCAAAAACGAAGTTCATCATTTTGAGATGTTTAGTACTGAGGCTTTTCCAGGACACCTGCTGCCTTTTCTGTAGCAGTTTCTCCTCACTGAATTTTGCACATTACTCAGCAGTATTTGCATACCATCTCAATAAAACCAACCCAGTCTCCCTTTAGTAATGTTCCTAGCCATTCTGTTTTTTTTTTTTTGAAGGAACATTGGTTTATAACATTACGTAAATTGTAGTGTGCAACACTAGAATTTGACATCTGTTTGTAAAACCCCGTGCTCACCGCCAAAAGTCTAGCTACCATTCATCACCCCCTTGACCTGTTCTGCCCTCCCTCCACCCCCCATTATTAAACTGAATCTATTGGGGTGACACTGATTAATGAAACCATACTGGTTTCAAGTGTACAACTCAATAAAACATCATCTGCATGCTGTATCATGCGCTCACCACCCAAAGTCAAGTTGTCTTCTGTCCCCTTTTATCCCCCACCTTTGCCCACCTCCCCCTCCCCTTTCCCTCGCGCTATCACCATACAGTTGTCCAGGGCTATTGTCATATATGTGTACTTTATTGGCTAAACCCTTTCACCTTTTTCACCCAACCCTCCAAGCCCCCAGCTCTCTGACAGCTGTCACTGTTCTTTGTATCTATGCGGTTCTGTTTCTATTCATTGTTTTGTTGACTAGACTCCACATGTAAGTGACATCATATGATTTTTCTTTTTTTTAACTGGCTTATTTCACTTAGCATAATAATCTCCAGGTCCATCCATGCTGTCCTAAAAGGTAGGATTTTTCTTCCTATTTACAACCAAGTAGTATTCCATTGTGTAAATGTTCCACAGCTTTTTTAATCCACGCCCCCACCCCCAATCTTAGTTTATAAAGTTACATCTCAAAACACATGCTTCCCAGTTTAAAGAGTAATACGTATCTTAAAGGTGGAAATGTTCTTTTGGGTCAGTAACACGGACCTTATACATAAATAAGAACTGATTCTGCTCCACCACTGAGGGGCAATGTTTGGGCCAAGTACTCATGCCCGTCTGTCTGTAAGGGTAATAAAAAAATGCTGTGCGGGCCACTTGAATACACATAAAACTTTCTTTGCAGCGTGTAAAAAATCAGGCTGCCTTATAAATCAGAAAGCTTTGCTTCAGTCAAACATGGCATTATTACCAGAAAGGAAAAAAGCTGAAGCAACCTAGCCACGAGTTCCCTGGCCACCTGGGGCCAGTCACGTGAGAAATTCTCCAGATTTAAACCCCCCAGTGCGTGTAGAAGTGTTGACGACAGCAACACCCCGAGTGTTCCCTCCCAGGGATGCTGTGAAACCATTGGGCGGGAAAACGGACGGTGCGCAGAAAGAAGGAGTGGTCGACTCGGCAGGGTCCCAGGCAGCGGAGAGCTCAGCAGCTAGGGCTGGGGCTGTCCTACCCGGGCTTCCGCCCGGGCGTAGTGGGGGTGCGGGGGGAGCGCGAGGGGAAGCACGCAAGGGGACGCCTTTCCTCCGGCGTTCTCGGTGCACCTCCGGGAACCGGGAGCGGCCCGCGGGAGTCACTCACCTGACCAAGAGCTCTAGGAAGATCACGTTACTGCAGCAGCCTGCGAAAACCAGGCCCACCGCGCAGAGCTGGCGCATGCCGGTGCAGGGGAAGGGGGGCAAGTGCGCAGAGGAAGTGCCTGCCTATACCACCACCCCAGGTAGCCGAGTTGCTGCCTCAGCAGGGGCACAGGACATCGCCACCTCCCCGGAGCGGAACTCTTCCCCGGGGCTGCCGCACTCTCCCCTTCCCCAGCGGCCGCCACTAACGCTGCTGCCCGAGAAGCTGTAGTTCGCGGTCAGCCCCGGACCCATTCATCCGAGGGGGCGTCCTAGACCCAGCCAGACTACGTATCCCAGCAGGCCGCGCGCCCTCACGTCAGGGTGGGACGTGTCCTGCTTCTGGTGGGCAGCCCCACCGGAGTGAGGAGGGGCGTGGTGACCGGCATTCCCTGCGCGATAGGAAGCCGCGGGGTTCGCTGGGAAGTGAAGTTCCAACCTTGTCCATGTTTCTTAGGTTTCTAAGGGCTCAGAAAGAGATTCGTGCATCACTATCTCAACAAACACAGGTGGTGGCACTAGCGCTACAGATCTGTGATTTAGCGCTGGGGACATTATGGCATCTGAAACAATTCTGAGTTGAGTGAAAGTAGAACTTCCTCTGAACGTACTTTTCTACCTTTTGAAAGGAACACTGGACTCCGAAGGTTCTGGGGTTGAATCTTGGCTCAGCTACTAATCAGCCCTGCTATCTCAAGCAACTTCTTTGCACCTTAGACTCATCATTGGTAAAAATGGGAGGAGTAATGCCAATCTTACTGCTTGTTGTCAGGGTTACAAGCTATGATCACCTGGGGATCTTGTTAAAATGTGGATTCTGATTCACTGCAGCTGCAGTTTGCCCTGAGATTCTGCATTTCTAACAAGTTCCTGGGTGCTGCCAATGCTGAAAGCAGACGCCTGTAAAACAGTTGACGCTGGAAATTTCTGTAACCCACCCCTCTCACTGACTCAGGAACCGCCCAACACCCAACTTTCCCTTAGTCTCCTCCTTCCCCTTAGCCTACAACCATACTCAAACTAATTTCTCTTGCTCCTTCATTTCTCCACCAAATATCTTTAAAGGGTAATCTATGTTCATGGTCTTTGCTTTTACACTCAGATCAAAGCCAGATTTTAAAAAATAGTTTCATTTAGAGCTCTCCTGACTTCTTAATTGTCAAAACCATATACAGCAGGTGTTTGATTAATATTGTTTCATTCAACACCATTTAGTTGTAATGTTGATGAATGTCCTTAGAACTTAACTCTTGCTTTTATCAATTAGCCTGTGGCAAAATTGTTTTCAGTGTTTCACGTAAAGCCTCAGTTTCCAAGAACCTATCAATGATGTTCAGTGAGAACTTACTGTACCGTAGTCTTACTTGATCTTGCAAATGGCTTTTTACAATAAAAACTCAATCCTCCTGATATCCTCTTGTCCCACTGTTTATAAGACACGATACTCCTTTCTCTTCTCTGACTTACCATTTTCAGTTCTTTGCAGGCTTTCCCTCCTCTGCCCACTGAATTCCCCTCCGAAGTTCCACTGTTTGTTCCCAACTATTGTTACCCTAAATACATTCTATTGGTGATCTCCTCTCCATAACGTCAGCCATCACCATGTAACAGATCCTGTACGTACATATATGTACAGCCCAACTCTCCCTCATGTCTCAAAGGTCGACGTTTCCAACTGTTTATTCGACATCTCCAACAATGTAACCTGAGGAAGGGAACTTTCTACTCACAAAAGCTTTCTGTGTGTAGCTTTTCGATGCACCCCTCACAGCTCCCTCCTCCATATCTCCAGCACTCCGTCCGTACCCAGACCATCCCAGAAATCATGGTGCATTGCAGTTATCTGGTTGCACATCAGTCTCCCTCTGCCCCTTCACAGACAGGAGGCAAGAATAACTAATCAATCTCTAGATCCTTAGCATTAACTACAGTAACTAGTATGTTATATGTACCTTGTTTTGCTGTTGAGTCAATGAATGAGCTTGACTTCCTGAGAAAAATAATTCACACCTCATAAATTCAATAAATATGTAATTTTTTAGCCAAATGAACCTAAAATATACAAACAGCAAAAACGCACTGTGAGATGAATTTTCATAAGCAATGGCATAGAATCAGGACCCCAGCCAGGAAACAACATTACCAGCATCTCAAAAACTCCCTGTTCCCTCTTCCAATCACAGATGCCCCCTGGGAATAACTACTTTTCCCACTTTCTAGCACCAGAGGTTAGTTTTGCCTGTTTGGGGACTTGACATACATGGAATCATACAGAATATTTTCTTTGGTTTCTGCTTCTTTCACTCAACATTATGTCTGTCAGTTCATCTGTGTTGTTGCGTGTGTTTGCAGTTCATTCATTGCCATTGCTGTATAGCATTCCCTCGTACGAATATACCACAATTTATTTGTGTCTTCTCCTGGTGATGGAGAGTTTTGTCTATTATAAATAGTGCTACTAGGAAACTTCTTGTACATAGCTTTTGGTGAACATAAATACTCATTTCTGTTGGATATCCATATATTAATCAAGGTCCAGTCAGAAAACAGAAATCACCAGTAATTTGAACAGGGAAAGTTTCGTATAAAGAGCTATTAATTAGTAACAGAGGATTGGTTTCTATGAGGGGCTAAGCAACTCCCAAGATTACAGGGAGAGCAGATGTAAGGAGCAGCTACTGCCCAGGACCACAACAGACCACCCAAGGAAGTAGCAACTTGGAAAGAGGGTCTTCTCCCCTGAAAATGGAGACTCAGGTCTTACTGAAGGTTTGGCTGTAGCCATCTGGCTAGCAGAGAAGTTCAGTGAGGCGCTGAGAAAACTCTCTGAGCCTCCTCTGGGGTCCAGCTGGGGCAGGGGCCAATTTCTCTGGAAGCTGCTGGTGGGGTATTGTACTCTCTAGGAAGTTGGCTGGGGCTCTGGCAGAACCTGCTGGTGACCCCCTGCGAGGGTACTGCTGAACTCATGCAGGTGAGTGCCAAAGCATAACATGCCAGAACCAAGAAGACAGGTCCCCTCCTCCTATCTGGCTCCTGCAGCGCCCTCCCTGGCGGAGCTTGGCATCACAAGCAGGATCGTGAAGAGTGGATTTGGAGCCGAAAGGCTGTAAATGGACAACTGGAACACCCTAGGTTTTTCAGGGGTTATTTCAACTTCAATAGTGTAATTGTTTCATCATAAAACCAAAGTGATGAATTATAGGCATGGCTTCATCTCCTACACTTTTTTTCTTCCTTTTCCCCTCCCTGAGCTCCAACTTCTAGCATCTTTGAGTGAATAGCATCCTCTTAGACAGCAGCTGGGCGCACCCTGTTTAAACCTTTGCACAGTCCTCTCCCCTTGTGAAAAAGGACCTATTGTTCTGCGAGTGTCCATCATCTTTGCCCCCGTGTTGCAGCGGCCAAGGCTTTTCTTCTGTTTCCAGCCACTCAGACATATTTTGCATCATTTATAAAATCCACTTAATCAAACTGTTGACCAAAAACTTAAGAGAGATGACTCCTGAGGGAGACTCCCTGACAAGTGTCCTCATGTGGACAGTCCTCCAGAGATGTGTCATTTTTTTAACTTGTTTTCCACGTGTATTACATGAGGATGGATGATTTTTTCCCTCCCTGTATCACATAAATCTTGAGGTACTTAACGCTGTTCACAACAAATATACTTAAAGCATGTGTAAAGCCGCAATATTGTTGTCACTTGTTTCATAAGTCAGATTCGAGCAATGCCCCAGTGTACTGATAGACTTCTATAATCTAGCTTCTTCAAGGAGGTTACTAAAAGACAGATTTTCCTTCTCAGAGTACTGTCGTTTAGGCAAGACAGAGCTTTGGCTAGGAAGGAAATCTTCTCCACCGGAATGTTAGTGGCACAAGGTCAAGGACTTCAGCCACGGTATCCTCCAAACTTAGATGGCATCTGGCTGTAGTAAATGGTCAGTGAGTAATGGTAGGACAGTAGGAAGGAAGGACAGACAGATGGGGTTGGGGGGCAGGAGGAGGAAGAAGGATCATTAGCAAAACCAGCTCCCTTCTCAGGGGGCCTTACACACGGGGCAGGAGAGGGGCTGCAGACGGTCCCTGGCATGGGAGAACATGCAAAGCAGAACGGCCACCCAGAGGAACCACCCTCAGGGCCCAGGCCTGCACGCAGGAACCACCTGTGCTTGACCCACACACCTCATGGGTCCCCATCACTGCTGCTCACCTGACGTTTGTCACATAGTGTGACTGAATTGAGGTGGCAAATGTAAATGACTCAGCAACAGGCGCTGTTGCACCACGTACCTTTGGGAAAAGAACAATGTCGGAGAACCGACTTTTTCCACCAAGTGTGACACGTCTCGAAGTTACTGGCTTCACTCCCCGCTCCCCGCCAGCACTGAAAATGTGTTCAGGGGGAAAAAAAAACACGAGATCATTTAATTTTAATTTTCTTACACTGGTTCTGTCACCATTTTCCTATCTCCAGGAGTAAGCGTACGAGAAGATGTCACTCACCCACGTACTGAAACACGCTTTGATCTGTTCCGGGGGGTGACTGCTTCCGTTCATAAATGCCTCCACGTGTAGCTCATCTACCCCTCCATCCATCATGGGGCAGAAAGGGGTTATTATGCACAGGAAAAAACCTGAGCGTCAAAAAGGTTAAATGTATTTCCTAAGGCCCCCAAATTTATATGCACGTGGGACCAGGCAGGTGAGGTGAATGTGGCACTCTGATTGCAAAGCATGGGTGTTTTGTTGGGGGGTCAGAGACTGTAAGCTCTGTTTGGGTATTTTCAAATTCACATTAAACATAGTATTTTTAATTGTGTGACATACACATAACAGAATTTACCATCACAACCATGTGTAAGTGTACAGTTTAGTGGCACTGAAGGCATGTATTTGCATTGCTGTGCAACCATGGCCACTGTCCATCCCCAGAACTCTTTCCATCTTGCAAAACTGAAACTCTGTCCCATTAAACAATCACTCACCCTTCTCTCCTCCCCCAGCCCCAGTAAACCACCATTCTGATTTCAGCGTCTATGAATTTGATGGCTCTAGGTACCTCATAGAAGTAGAACCCTGCAGTAGTGAGTATTTTTGTGACTGGCTCATTCCACTTAGTATAATGTCCTCAAGGCTCATCGGCGGTGCAGCATGGGTCACCATTGACTTCCTTGCCAAGGATGAATAATATTCCAAATGTACCATGCTTCCTTCATCCGTTCATCCATCAAGGAACACTGGGGTTGCTTCCACCCCTTGACGTTGTAAGTAATACTCCACAAGCGTGGGTGCACAGACATCTCTTTGAGACCCTGCTTTCAGTGCTCCTGAAACATCCAGAGTGCATTGC